ATTATAATCCACACTTTTTTTATTATCTAGTATTTCTGGTTCTAATATTTCTGCATCAGGCAAAATTTGTTTTACATCTGTCATTCCTTCCTTAACATCTTTTGGACATAGTGAATCCATAAAAGTAGACATCATTGTTGATATTTTAGCTGCTAATTTCTGGCCCCATTCATAGAAAATCTCCTAGAGTATTTCAAATGTTATAAAGTTTTGTGTCATTTTGTAAATCCCCGTACTAACCAAAACCAAAGGGAAGTTCACTTTTTTCCCCTTTTCCTCCTCTGCCTGGAATCTTTAATCCCCTCTAGTGTCCAGTTTCTGAAAATATCTCTCTCAAATATCTATTATGACTCAAGATAGATTAAAAAATTGGTGCCCACAAAAAGCTGTTTATTTTATATAATCTTATAGTAAAAGTCTCAATGTTCCAAATTTGTCTGGAACCTTAATTCATTTTTAACCTTCTTGGATTAAGGTTTATTTAGCTTTTTGCCATTTATTTCCAATTCTTTAAATTCTTAAACTTATGGTTAATTTTTTTTTAATTCAAGAATGAAGATAAACTCACCAGGTGGCTTTTCAAACTTATTGTTCCTAAGATCTCTAATAGCCTTAAGATAGTTAAATAGGTAATTTCTGAAAGTGATTAGAAAGTGAGGTTAGCGAATCCAGTGTCCTTTAAAAGGCTCCACCACAGCTGTGAGCATGAATGGTTAATTTTTTTTTAATTCAAGAATGAAGATAAACTCACCAGGTGGCTTTTCAAACTTATTGTTCCTAAGATCTCTAATAGCCTTAAGATAGTTAAATAGGTAATTTCTGAAAGTGATTAGAAAGTGAGGTTAGCGAATCCAGTGTCCTTTAAAAGGCTCCACCACAGCTGTGAGCATGATGGCTTATCCCTTCATCTCCTGGTGCTCAAACCTGCAAGAGACTGTTGTCCTCTGGTCTCCTTATGAGGAGCAGCCATCTGAAGCATATACGGGTAATCTTATCCAGAGAGGTTCTGAAGGACCGGTCTACTTGCCAGTTCTTTGGTCTTTGCCACAGTCATCATTTCCACTCTTTCAGAGACATTCTTAGTTCACCATGCCTCCCCCAGAAGTCTGACCTGTTTGATATTATGTCCAAATTGGGAACTCTAGATAATGTAGAATGTATTTCTGGCTTATTGACATAAGCAACCCAGTTTAATCTGTTGATAATCCATGGTGTGATTCTAGATTGCTTTAACATTAGTTTGAACTAATCAGAGTTCATTCATTTCAGACATAATCTGTGATTAGTTTAAAAGAGGAAATATATGATACTTATTATCTACTTCTTATAGCAGTCAGGGAAAAAAAGGCATCTAACAAGCATCCTACCACTCTTCATACTATGGTGATTTTTAAAACATCATTACTATCATTATGAGAGGGCGCTGACACAGTTCCATAGTACCCTCTCTCTGCTCTATATAGCTCTGGTGCTCAAAAGATCAATTACATGCTGGAGAGCACCTAGGAGCCAGGAGGTGGGGTTTCCTGCTAGTGAGAATGTAGCTCATCCCCAAGCTACACGGAGTTCCAGCACTGTAGACTAACTAAAACCAGATTTCTTGCAATATATGCTGTACCATGGTTGACCCAGAAATGAATTGCCTCAGCTGCCTAGTGGAGAACAGCATGGGACAACAGGAATGTACAGCTGATCTGGAATTGGTGCCAAAGCCCTTGTGGAAGGACCCTGAGAGAGAGGTTAAAACAGGCCTATCTGGCCTCATCTGTGTAGCACTGAAGCATCTCCAAACTGAGCAGGTACATATTAAGAGAATACCAAATTGAGTATACAATGAAGCACCTTCTGTTTCCATACTTACAGTAAATCTTTTTTTCTTCACTCTGTGTTCATCAGAGCTGGGGATGCTAACACTTGGACAGCTTTCCTTTAGATCCATTTTATGTTGTTTTTGAGCAAAAATTCAAGACCACCACACCAGGGTATAACAGGATGTAGAAAGTATCATCAGTATTGATTTAAAACACACAGTCGTTCTTGTGCAAACTTAATTTCCATCATGCAAGCCTTAAATAAAATGAAATGTTAAAAAGGATCAGCAAGAACTGGTATGGTTCATGAAGGCACACAAACTGACTTTTTCAAAATTCACTCCCACTCCCACCCCATAAAATGAAAGTGTATAAAGTGAATATAGAACAGGAGTATTCAAAAATTTAAAAAAATAGCAAGGTGTCTATATATTATAAATACAGACACAGAAATGTGTTTTTAATATTTGAATACACATTCTATAGCAGATGTATCAGGCATTTATAACTCTGAAATACTTCTGTTACTACAACATGTATGTAAAGTGCGACATGAAACAATAATTATGTATTTCATATGCTCTGCTGGCTCATAAAACTCATAAATCCCTATTGAAAGAGTAACATATAGGCTCACATTTTTATGCAGCTGCAGGTAAAGAATAGAAGAATGAAGGTGGATTTTTATAGTCGAGATTTCTTTATTTCACTTAATTTACTGTCTAGTGACTTGCACTTATGTGCAGGCAAATCCAATGCCTATTTATCCAGGAAATGGAGTTCCACTGATTTCACTGAGCTTCACATTTCTTTTCAATGAATAATTACCATGGATGTTAGCAACTTTGCATTTGTACTATATAGAAAGAAATTTTAACTTCAACAAGGTAGTGGCAGTTACAGAGTAAGGAACTTCAAGCTGTGTAGCCTTTGTCCTCATAATTTTAATTATTTAATCCCTAATAATTTATTCTTCCCCCTTCTTAAATAATCCAGCATATTCACAGTGCAAGAATATTCTTCGAAGAAAGTAGTACTATTAACATCTGGTACTGGTGGTTCAATATCTTAAGACTGCTTTGTTATTAAAACTAAGAATACAATGGATAAATCATCTTTTTCAGGAAACCCTCTGGCAATAGGCACTTCTGCAATTGGAAGTATGCTTGAGTTAATACAACTGCCATGGGATGTGGCAAAGCTGACTTAGGAATGGCATACTTTATTCTAAATTTATTTTGGCAATAAATAAATATACTTATAATCTCAGTAACACCATTCCAAAATGATAAACTTAGAATTATATTTAAATTATCTCCTCTCTTATTAGTTCTTTTCCACATAGCACAATATCTTTAATTTGGAGAAGGGTTAAATATATTCCATCTACTGGCATCAATTAACAGTTAGAAGCTTGGCAAAAAGAGATGCATCTTCATAGCTTTTCTAAAGATTGAGAGAGTAGCAGTAAAATGCAGCTCTCAAGTGGGATTTTTTAACCTGGGAGCAACACAGGAGAAACTCTCTCCTGTGTGCCTGACAGATGATCTCTGAAAGTGCCGGGAATCTTCAGAAAAGCCTCTTTCGTAGACTGTAACAGTTGAACATTTGTAGTAGGAGAGATGGTTCCCTCAGAGAGAGAGGCTCTAAACTGGTTAGGCTTTTATAAGTCAGTGCAACACCTTAACAGGTGCGCAGAAAGCAACTGGCAACTAACTAAGACTGGGTTTTCCACTGCAAAGCAGGACAAGATATGACAAGTCCACCTTGCAGTGACATCACTGCATGAGCTCCTCCTTTATATAACTGTTGGAACACCCTTATGGGGTGGGCTTTGCATAATGATGTCACTGTGCATGCTCAGATGCTGTGAAAGCACATCTTGTTCCTTACTCTGCTGGCAAAAAACAGGCCAACCAGCCAGGCTGGGTTGTTTTCTACCATTAATTGCCAATTACTTGCTGACAGCCTGCTGCTGTCAGCCTATTTTTTGCTGTATTCTTCAAATAGTAATTCAAAACAACAGTTGAATTTGCATGTAACACTACAGCATGAACATGGTTTATAAGTCACCATGGCTGGGCTTGAACAACAAATAGCCCCCAAACAGACAAAACCCTATGATTTAGTGTGACATGTAAACCAGAACATTTTTTTTTCCAGAATAGTTAATTTCTGCCTAATATAAAATATCATAGGTTGCCTTAAAGCAGCCTGGGACTCTCCTTTGAAAAGCCAGATGCTAATTAACTCTCTCCCTACCAATAATCCCAAATGCATAGCCTCCTAATATAAGCACAGATCAAAAGAAAACATGGTAAATGTAAAAAGACTGGTACAGTTTTAAGATGCCAATTTAAAATATGTAGCTTCTTGAAGAACATACATGTATAGATTTTCTGTCTTAAGGAAGAAAAGTGTTATTGGACTGCATGTATTCCCCAGTGTTTCTAACATGCCTACATTAAGCAATTTTCCTGTTGTGGAGACACCCATGCTTGTGTTGGCTGATGTCAAAGCACTTCAAAATCCAGTTAAGAGATTTGTTTTAACATCCAGTTTATAAATTATGTATCTCAGTGATCCACTTTATTTTCAACTAGTTTTTGGAAAATTTAAGCTTTATAAAGCAGTTATTTTAATTTAAGAGAAACAGTTTAAGGAATGCAATATATTTTGATAAGCAACAAAATGTAATTTTTTCACCATAGCAATTAAAAGTATTTACAGTTGATTTCATTATGCACAAAAAAAGAGGAGGTACACAAACTTCCCTTCAATGAAGAAACTGCACCACAGCATATAAAAAACAAACAACAACAAAATCCTAGTACTGCAGCAGTTAAAACTGCACCAGAAACTAAGTTGGATATAAATCAGCTCAATTCTTCAATACTGCTTATGTTGTGGAACACAGAGGTCCACATCTACTTTCAAACTAATGCAGCATCCCTATATGGAAGATTGTAGAGTTTTCTGTAGATAATCCATGAATAATTTTAAAAACAGATGTCACAGATCTTGCAGCACACTGGTTTCAACATCTCCTAGAGGGTGTATATTTTAATTTGTTGTTTCTTGCCATTGCTTATGATTTAAAACATTGTTTCATCCAACTGTCACATTTTCTTAATCCAGTCAAGGTCTTATTATAGTATAGAGAACTAGATATTCATTTCTTCAATGTAAAGATAGTACGCATATTAATGTCTTCATGAAGAAATGAAACAAGATTAATATTTCGCAGATCAGGCGGCTGAATTTGCAGATTTGCCAAAGCTTATTTTTTGTGTACTAAAAACATATTTAATATTGAAGAGGGACCACTTGACTCATGGTACAAGAGTAGTAGTTGAGACTTAGAGCTGATTAGATCTCAAATCACATGGGAAGCTTCATAGGCATTCCAATACCTGAAAGTACTATAAGTGGTCTTGCAATTACCAGGACTTACTGGGCTCCATAAGATTTGGAGGAATATTCTGCCTGGTAAGATTTAAGAGAGGTCTCTATAAAGCCTCTTTCCACATTCCTTGGGCTATTTTGGCAACAGCAAACAGTATGCTACATATAAACATATACTCTCCCTTCAAGAAATATTTATTTGGGTAGTACTTGTCTCTAAATATTAATTAAACTAGGATTTTTTATTTTTTATTTTTTTTGCCCAGGATGCCTCCTTGACAGGAATATTGGTTTTGATTTTCATACTTTATTACTGTTTCTAGTTTCCTTAGCTATTGCCATTCTCCTATAATTTTAGATTAGCCATCCAATACTAAAGTGGACCATGGCCAATCAGTTTATTGCTTTTAATTCCAACATGCTGAAAAATCTGGCAAACATAAAAATCTAGTGAATAAGAGGTCTTGATGTTGCAAAAGATAACAAAGGAACAAGTGTGTGTTGAGCCTGGGTGAATCTAAGAGCTAGCAAGGAGCTCTGAAAGTTGGTATAAAGTAACAGATTCTTCACAGCCCAGGAATGTACAATGAAATTCAAGGCTGGAAAGATAGTAAGTCGGCAGTAAACATTTACTAATTTAGATGGGAATTTCCTCTCTGGCTAATGTTGCTCCCACACAGAGTTTTGATTTACATCTTACATGTTAGGGTATGAATAATGTCCATAATACAATTTCTAGAAGACTTTAGGGACTGTTAAAGATTTGCAGTTGTTGCTATTCTATTCCTTTCAGTACTTTAGTAAAATGTTTTCGTTACCTAGAACATTTCTATCATGCATTTTAGAAGCACACAATTAAAAAAAGAAAAACAATTAAAAGCCCAAAAGTTGGAATATGACTTACCTTTCAGTCTCTCAGGAATAGGATACAAATCCACAGTTAGGTAATATCAAAGATGAGGAGTCTGCAAGTCACAGCTGGAACTGATTACAGATATACGGCAGACCTAGAGACAGCAAAAAGGCTAATTTCAATGAGGCAACTTAGACAGGGAAAATTCAATAGCTTGGTTATGACTTTGACAGCATCTCAACATTTCAGACTATTATCAGTGCAGGTTATTATTCCCAGTGAATATGTGAGGAAAAGGTCTGCTCAGTTTATCTCATGTGACACAACAGTTACTTAAAGTTAGTGAAAATAAACCAATTCCTTAACTGTGGAACTTCAAATATTAGGTTGCGTCATAGCATTTGCTTCCCCAGCTATCCACTTAAAATTGCTGACTCATTGCTAATCTTGTCAATCACCCAGATGACTGTTGCTAGTTGCAGGCCCAACTACTGTACTATATGGTGTTTCCAGATTCTGAAAAGCCTTGCAAATACTATATAGGCATTCATTTATAGTACACATTTCAGATTAAATACACTGCTTCTCACACACTTCTATCCAGTTAATCAAAGAGGCAGCTATGACTATTGCTGGGCAGCTTCAGCGGAATACTCTCTTTTCATTAAAAAGTCTGTTTTTGTGGCTGTTGCTGCTGTTCTGAGGAGATGGGGCTCTGCTGAATGCTCTATTGCCATAACAGCTCCTGCAGCATAGCTCTTATTGATTCACGGGAAGCAAAAAGGAAATAATGAAATTAACCATTTTTTATTGCTTTCAATTCATTTTTGTCTTCATATTGTTCCAGGACTTCCTGCAAATGTGAAATCAATGTTCAATTTTATTTTTATTTCAATACCTACACTGCTCCACCAATAAAAACAACAGCGTATGCATACAGCTAATGTTGAGCAAAGTTGGCTCAAGACATTTGTGCTGCCTAAGCACAGCAGGAAGGTAGCACTCTGTCATCAACACAAGTTAAGGACTGTTGTAATGTTTTCTCACTCTGCTAGTGGTGGGACTGACCTGAAAATGAATTGGGCCACTTACCACTAGTTTTCCTATTTGGGGCAGAACATAAATAAAGGTTTGTCTTTCTCAGGCTAATTTAAAAGCCAGAAATAACTGCTCTCTCATGAGACAGAAATCTTTAAAGCACTAATAATCAGGATAATGCTATTTATAAACTGAAATACAGAATGATTTAAGTGACGGAGCAGCTCCTCAAAACATAATGATCAAATTAAGGGGAAGTTATCTGCTGAGCACCTAATTATATGAATAACGTATCTAGTGACTGAGCTACAAAATTCCTAGTTAACTATATCTACATCAAAAGTGTTTCAATAATAAAAAAAGTACAAATGCAGCCAAAAATATTGGTATCCCTCCACTTTTTCCCAAAGAATCCCATTTATTTGCCATAAAATAAATTGAAACTGACACAAGTAAATGGCATCTTCTTTATTCCAATGTCCATAGAACAGACACTTTGCTTCTGTTGTATGATTTCACATATTCAAAGTAACTTCTTGATTTTTGCTCATATGTCCATGAAAACTGAGGAAGAGACAGAAGCATATAACTGATTGAGAGTTAGTTTCTGCATTTTTCTATCGATCAGACAGAGAGACCTTATTAGCTCTATCACACAACTCTTTGGAATGAAAATGGCAGCAAGGGACCTTGTCGGGTTACTGTGTATAATTTTGTGAATGTCTGAGCTGTCAAATCAGTAGAAGTACTCCATGCATTGCAAATAAATTACAATCTGAACAATGAGTACACAAATGACAGAAATCATTGGGGTGGGTAGGGTGCATACTACAAATTGTTAAATTGTACTGCAGAATTTTATAGCACTTTAAAAGAACTGAATGGGATTTATCAGATTAAATGATGTAAATTTATCTAATTGTTATTCATCCCAACTACCCTCAGTGTTAACAGGAGAACTGAAAATATCATTTATATAAAAATTAAGGGACTGAAACCACACATAATCCACTACTATGAAGCAGGCTGAATATATATTTCTAAATATGCAAACTTAAAACTTTCCATGTTTCTAAAGATGGAAAATACCTTTTCAGATTGCCTGTTTCCTTGAATGTGTATGTGTACCTATCATTCCCAATGTGGATCAAGACATGTTGCCTAGTAATAAATTCCCTTCATTAGTTGCTTCGGTAAATGGAATGTACGCTGAGTTTCACATTGATACTTAGACTAGCAATTCATCAGACACATAGAAACAAGGTCAAAACCTTACCACATTAACATAAAACAAGGAAATCTTTATTATTATTCAAACTACAGATTTGAAGACAAGCATTTTTTCTCTTAGAACTTAATCTACTGAAGAGTTCAATGGATTAAAAAAAATCACCCCCACCTTCTTTGATATAGAATAGATTAAGCATCATGGTGGCATGTTGGTGTGCAATTTGGAAATCCAAATGATCCTTTAGTGCTACAAACTACCCATACTATACAGCCAGGTTTCTTTTGCAGTGTGAGTCTCCATCTTTCCCCCATCTCAAAGAGCCAAATCTGGAAAGAAGCATCAACCTCAGTATTGTTCATTATAAGAGTGTGCATAAGAGGCATTATTTGCTGCTGTCGTGTGGTGCTGTAGTGAACTGAATAATAGTAATGATAACAAAAAGAGTTCCCCCAAATCCAGGCATAAAACTAACCAACTTTTCTGATTTAAGCCATTGCTAGCACTGCTGTATTTTGTTCTGACACCTGAATTTTCTGGCAGGTAAAAATGGGTGGGGTGGGAAAGAAGTAGTATTGGCAAATGCAATGTAAAGCCTTAGTTCTCGATGGAAGGCTCAACCAATATGGAAGTAATCATCCAAGAGAAGTGAAAACTCTTTTGTTGGCTCTCCCACTCAGCAAATCTTTCTTGCTTGTCATTTAAACTGTCAATCTTCCTCTTCCTCTTCTTTGAAAAACAGTGGAATTTAGCTTCAATTAAAGATTGGGATATCAGGCTTTTAAGTTGGAATGTCAAACTGGGTCAAATAGGACCACCCTCACACTCAGCTGCAGGTGGGTAGAAAAGGAAGTGGGAAAAAGAATTTATTTCCTTCAGTGAAATACTCCCTTTTTGTGAGTTTATATTCATGCTAAAAGCAATACATTGTCTTCTTACTTATATGGTATTTTAATGACCACACAATGTATTATTTCTCATCAAGCCTACACCAAGATTTCACTTCCAAAATAAGGATCTTGATGTAACTAGATATGCACCGTTCATGTTTAAAAGGGAGGCCAGCAAACATAGTGATACTCCAAAGTGTGCAGGAGTACAAAACAAATGGCCTAAATATAATTAATTGTTTGTAATTACAATTATAGTAATTATGCTTCAGTCCAGTGAAGACTGAATGCACTCAGTGGCCACAGAACACTGACTTGAGAGGAGGGAAGAAAGAACAGAATAAGTACCACAGAATAGGGCATGACTGCCTGGCTGCTGCTATTAAACAGGCCTATTTCGTTGTACAGCAGTTCCTATGTAACTCCACTCCACCCATGGCAATCTTCCCACTTCCAAAAAAATGTTAAATGTGGCCTTCAGTCACCAAATCTTTGCCCTTACTTAATCTATACATATTATTCTTGCTCCACATAATAAACTCTCATTGAGAACAAAAGGATCAGATTTTTTCTAGTCCATCATGCTGTGTCATGTAGTGACCCATCCCAAGTCTCTGGAAAGGTCACAAGCAGTGCATGGATAGAAGGACTTGCCTAGGTGTGCTGCTTATTTTCTGCCCCTATCATTCCACATAATTCCATATATATTGTTACAAACCTTATTCTGTGAGATTTCTAAAGATTTTTAAAAAAAATTTTATAAAGCAAAACAAAAACAAAAATGTTTTATGGCCTGCTGAAATAACCATATACAGGTAGCCCTCATTTAATGACCCTAATTGGGACTGACAACTCTGTCACTAAGCAAAGCAGTTGTTAAGTGAAACATCACATGACTGCCCTGCTTAGTGATGGCAGTTCCAGCAGTCCCAAATGTGCTAAGCAAATCACCAACAGTTGTTAAGCAAGACATCATGTGACTGCAACTTGTGACCTCCTGCTGGCTTCCCCATTGCCTTTGCTTGTCAGAAGCCAGCCAAGAAAGTTGCAAATGGTGATCACATGACTGTGGGACACTGTGACTACTGTAAATGTGCAATGATTGCCAAGCACCCGAATCACAATCATGTGGGACACTGTGACAGTTGTAAGTGTGAGGACCGGTCACAAGTCACTTTTTTCAGCACTGTTTTAACTTCAGTCACTAAATGAATGGTTGTTAAGCGAGGACTACCTGCATAGGTTTTTAGAATTATCTGGAATATAATTTGTTAGCCTGCAAATACCATCAGAAGGTTACACATTATCATATTCATTTCCTACTGGAAAATATTTATATTTTCATTATATTAAAAAACAAATCTCACTAATTTTTCATGTTCTCTCAAACAATACTATTTGAAATTCCAGATTGGCAATGGATAATCTCATGTTTAAACTAATTAAACAAAATAAATGCAAAATATGTATTTATTGATCTTGTTCTACTTTCTTGACTGTAAAAGTCTTGCTTTTTCAGAACCAACATTTCCCCAAACCAGACACTTCCCTTTGAAGTAGAGTCAACAGTAGCTTATCAGTGTCTGAGCAGGCAGAAAAAATTTTGGTTTGCAGGGATATCTGCCAGCATTCTTACAAACATTACTATACACAAAGCTTTCATTCATTGAGTCATCAAATCTTTTTTTAATAAACATCACAGAGAAACAGACATAATTAATTCTAAACAGAAAGCAACATATTGAAGGAACAATCAAATAAGTACTCCTGATTATATTGTTTCTGATAATTAATTTTAACTGAATGTTCTTATTTTTGAATAGATGTTATCAAGTGCCTTATCACTATTACCTACACAGATTTGGGGTAGAGAGTTATAAATGATGTATAACCCCATGCTGAGAGATGACCTCACCCAGCAGCTTTATATAAATGTTAAATAGGAACAGAGAGAGTACAGAGCCCTGAGGGACCCATAAAGTAGAAGACTAGGACAAGATCTCTCCCCTCTTATAGAATGGAACTGGCCCTAGAGGAATGAAAACATCACCAGAGCACTGTGCTTCCCACTCCCAAAGTCAGTCCAGAAGGATACCATGATCTTTGGTGTTGAAGTCCACTGAGAGAGCAAGGAGGTCCAGGGTGGATGCACCATCCCCATTCTGCCAGAGATTATCAACTAGTGCAATCAATGCCATCTCAGTTCTATAACCCAGGCCAAAATCTGATTAAAAAGACTGTAGATAATCCAGGCCCCTTTGAAGCTTCAAACCAACCACTTTCTCAACAACCTTTCCTAGAAAGCGAAAGTTAGAGATAGGATGAAAATTGTCTGCCATCCTTGGATCCAGCAATGGTTTCTTGAAGAGGGGATGGACTACTGATTCTTTAAGACCCAGAGGAACTACCCACTCTCTCAAGGATGCATTCACCACCCCAAGGTTCCAAGCGCATGACCAATCAAGAAGGGCATGAATCTAAAAAAATAAAAGTAAAAAAAAAAGGAGGAGGATATGAATCTAATATACAGGTCGCCATACCTATCGCCCCAATTACTCTATCCACTTCCTCAGGACTAGCAGGCTTAACTCTTCCCAGATAACCAAGCTAGACCATGCTTCAACAACTTCAAATAACCTGCATGGCCAGAATCCAATTCAGAGCGGATCCAACAACTTTATTTAACAGCTGTCTCAAACTGTATTCCCAGTGCCCCTGCAGGTGTTCCTCCCATCCTTCCCTACCCAGGTGGGAGCAGGTCACCTTAAACAGAACCACTGGCCAAGATGCAAAAGGAGTGGAAAAATAATTGCATTTTGCCACTCTTATTTCCATGAGGTAATCCTTAATAAAGGTTCTTATCCATGCCTGATTGGGTTCCCTCTTCACATTCTTCCAGTAGAGCTCTAGGCGTCTCTTCTGCTGCTTCATCTCCCAGAGTTCCTCTGAGAATCAATACCAGTTTGGGCTCTTCTACCCTCTTCTAACAGATCAGCACTCGCCATCCTACATTATATAGGAGAGTCTACCAAATTCCTCTGTTTAAAGAGTGCAAGCAGGGGATGTGAATGTTTCTGTCAATGAACTTCCTTATTTTTGCATGCAATCAATTGCTAATAACTCAAATAATTAAACAAATAATGCATCCCCCTTATCTAGTAAGCATAAAATATTCCCTTTCCAGATTGCTAAACAATGAGAAAACGGATTCTGCAAAAGTGCATTTATTATCACTTTATTGTTAACTTTAACAATCGTACTTGAAAAATAAAAGGGATAATATATCTGATGCTTCAAAATACAACTCTGTTTACCAAAATAGAAAAGGAACAGTGAGGGCAAACTAGTTTGTGGCCTCCTTTCCTTTTTAAACAAATGTTTTGTTTTTCATAGTGCAATATTTATGCAACTACCCCCCACCCCCTGTACATCTTAGAGCTCTAATTTGAACATCTGATTTTGCATAGCTCTCTGGGTTTCGCTCAAGACATCTGCAGAACAGCAGCTTAGAAAGGCTGCTTTACAATAGCTATACAAAATTGGTGAGCCTCAAAAAACAAGTCTTTAAGAACCACAACATAATAACGACAACTAAGGGAAACTTCACTACGCAAAATCAAAGACTGATTCTGAATAAATATACAGTTCAAGTCATTACACCTCAAAAATGTTATTATAGAGTTCCAAAAGGAGCTAGAGTAGTTCCCTTACAAAAATTCTTAGTTTTTTTTAGCTCAGAGGAAAGCTGGGCATGAGAGCCATAACAAAGATAACTGAAATCATGAATAGTATGGAAAATGAGATTAGAGTGAAATATTAGTTTCATCCACTGAATCCAAATGCAGAGAAAGTCAGGACTAATACAGCACTAAGCTGTGGAATTTGCTGCAATCAATTCAGCTGGCTTTATGAAAATGAACATTAAATTGAGATTAATGTATATTTTAAGAGGATTCAAATGTTAATTCCTATTAGATATTTTACCCAGATAGATAATGAATGACAAAAATTTTATGGCAGACTAAAGCTCCTAGAATCTTTTTGGCTAAACTGAAACTACCTTATGATGATGATGGCTTTAACCTATCATATTTTCAATTATATGGTTGAAGGATTCTTGGTTCTAGGAATTTACCATCTTTGGTACTGAATGGTGTTGCACTGCCCCAAACAAACCTCGTGCACAATCTGGGGGTCCTCCTGGACTCATGACTCCTGCTCTAAGAGCAGGTGACAGTTGTGGCTAGGAGTGCCTTTGCACAACTTTGTATTATGCGCCAACTGTGCCCATTCCCAGATCAGAGGGACCTACTCACTGTCACTCATGCCCTGGTCACCTCCCGGTTAGATTACTGCAATGCACTCTACGTGGGGATGCCCTTGAAGAGTATCTGGAAACTTCAGCTGGTGCAAAATGCAGCAGTGCGAGCAGTTGTGTGTATCTAGTAGAACACACGTTACATCTCTGCTTTGTGAGCTGCACTGGTTACCAGTTTGTTTCTGGGTCCAATTCAAGGTGCTGGTGTTGACCTTTACAGCCCTTCATGGCATGGGGCCGGGTTATCTGAGGGACTGCCTCTCCCCAATTTCATCAGCCCGTC